TTACCTCGAATTATACTTAATTCATAGCGGAAATTAACTATGGAAGAATTGAAAAGGCGAGTTGCCGTTTGTATCTTTTGAAATGGAACCTCCCCTACCTCCCCAGTACCACAAAAAGACAGAATTGCTGACACCACAGAAAATTAGGAGTTTTTGCAAAAACCATCCCAAACTCTATCCAATTTCGAAGCCATTAAATTTTTTAACCCTTTTCTATACACAGATCTTTCAAATGAACTTCTCCCTCTCGTATTGTTCAGCTGAATGGACCTATTTTTACGAATTTCCATTTTTGCCAAGTGATTATAGCCGCTCACTGGTCTGTGAAGCATACTATTAATATGTTTATATCATCCTCTCTTATTAAACTTTATAAGTAAAGTTATAAGTAAAGTTTATAACTGTATTAATCCGAAAATTCATGGAAATGTTGCACAAAATACGAAGAACAAAAGCAGATGAAAAGTTGACGAGATGAGTTTGAGAGAGATGCGATGCACTTTTAAGTGTTGAGAATGAAAAACACTCGATGAGAAGGAACTAAAATGGTCACTTGAAACTGATAAATGAGAGAGGACCTTTGATCGAAAAACGTTGAGAGGAGGTGTACGTTCCACGGGTCTGAGGGATGGAAGAAGACCTTTGAGAAGCTATGGTCTAGAGTCTGAAAGATGGGAAAAGACCTAGATTTAGGCGCAGGGCATGCGTATACAGACTTGCTGATGTCACGGGTGGCGAGACAACAAGTCTATGCGTGATTGGCTGGCTATAATGTATGTAGCTATCAGTTGCAAGTTTAGTAATAAAAAGTAATGGAGATGAACTGAATGATAGGATGTAAAGAAGATTTGAGATCGAAAAATGAACCTGTATGAAATGGAAAATAAATGTAAGGAAAATAATGAAAAGTTTCGACAGTTGCCGTTTGTACCTTTTGAAATGGAACCTCCACAGTACCACAAAAAGACAGAATTGCTGGCACCACAGAAAATGAGGACTTTTTGCAAAAACCATCCCAAACTCTATTCAATTTCGAAGCCATTAAATTTTTTAACCCTTTTCTATACACAAATCCTTCAAATGAACTTCTTGCTCTTGTATTGTTCAGCTGCTAGGACCTATTTTTACGAATTTCTAAGGAAAAAACTTCAATCTGCCCTAGACTTTTGTCTCATTGTTAGCTACTTAATGTTTCCTCAATTTACAACAAGGCTAAAGCCTACAGTCATCCCAAACCCAGCTCTCAGGCAGCAATGTTTAAGTAAAGCATCCATAAAACAGATAGGTCCTCTCTCAAAAGGCCTAATATGAATAGATTTCCCCCGTTTATTAATATAAAATTTATCTAATTTTCCAGGTGATCCCGATGCCTTCAAAAGAAGAGGTCACGCTTTATACTGCCATTCCCAATGTTGTTTTTCCTTCAGACCATTTAGCATTGGTAGCAGATCTGAAGTGGTTGTGATGACTGTTATTTCTATGTCAACTCAGCATATGTCCAGAAATTGGACCTGAAATTTCATAGGGCATTAGCTCTAAACTCTGCCAATTCGAATGTTACGATTGTTAGCATCTTTTTTCATCATCAGCTCTTGATAATGATAGACTATTGGAGAGCCCAAGATGTTTAAGCGTTTCATGGAGTATTATCTAAAGAGCTTTGAGAAACTGAATCTCTCGGTCAAATAGACAACTTTGATCCCAATTAACCTAAGTGCTTTTGACTTTGCCTAGTTTTCTCGACATCATATTTTTTATGCCAAAAACTAAGCATCGTAGTGCCTTGAAGCTTACGTGAATTTTCCTCAAATTATCCAGAACGTAGTCACACAATTTCAAGATAGTATGTAGCATAGTTTTCTGTTAAGAAAATAATACATGATTGGAAATTAGGCAAGGTCTAATGCGGGGAAGCTAATTCTGGTTAAAGCTGTTGGAAACATGGTCTCTGTATCAGAGTGGATACTCTGAAACCCTTCTCCCTACGGGTGACACAAAAAGCCAATCACACACAGGTGTTGCATCCTCTCTCGTTCTCTCCTCCTATTATTGGGGTGTAGGCATTTTCACCTCAAAACTGCAGGATTGAAACGTCAAGACCTCGTAACATTGTTTAAGAGTGTATCTAGTATGATAATTTTTTATTCTCATTGCAATTCATTAAATTTTTAAAAATCTGCTTCAAAAAGTGTGTACCCTTCCATTGGAATGCATGGTATTTCAAACTGCGTGCTGCACGCTTCACCTCCAAATCTAGTATTGGAGTATAGGCTTCTGCACTCATGTGCAAATTACCTTAATACGTCATTCAGCGTTTTTTCAGGAATGATCTTTTAATTATTTTTTTTCCTGAAAGGTTCATATCAGGAACATTCTCAAACATTTTGGAATGAAGCCCATGATTGCAGAATAGTATATGGATCTCTTAAAAAATAATTTTTATACATAATTCAATTTTTCAATCCTCTCATATTTTGTCAAGATGCTTAGGAATATTTTTATTATTAAATGTTTGTTAAACTGGACTTTGATTCAGACGGTTAACAGCTTTTTCAGCCAATGAAAACTACTGTCTTTGATTACATCTTGACTTTCCAAATGCATCAGATGAATTTGATCATGATATACTTAAAAAGAAACTCAGCTTATCAATCTTTTTTATTTAAGTCGTTTTCATCAACATTATTACATATCATTAATTAAAGTCAAAGTCACTTTTAGAATTTAATGTCTTTGACAAAACATTTTCAAGTGTCTAACTTACCCTGTAGTTTTCAATTATATTTCCTCAATATTTTTTACGGAGAAAATTGTTGTCTGTAGAGAATACTTTTTCTATGAGCTTCTAGAAGATAATACTCCTATTAACACTCGAACCAAAAGGTACTGTGCATCTATAGTTTATGTTGCATTTAATTTTCATGAATGAGAGTAAAGCATTTAGTTTTGTTCAATTAATTGTTTCTATTCTGGTCCATATTATTGATTTATTTTTGCATTTTTTAACATCAAATTAAATGAAAAAACCAAGAAAAATAGTTTTAACTAATCAAACAATCTCAGTTCTTCAAACATGACAAGAATCGCTGAAACCATTTTCTCACAAAGATTTTACCATCCTTTAAATATATGAAGGAATGGACTTTTCATTTCACACTTGTGTGTCAATTTCGTCATGTCTCTATCAAAAGTCTTCCTCCCAAATTTTTTGTTTTTTGTAAGCTTGTCCAGAAGAGCAATCTAATTATTATTTACCGTAATCTGTTGAATTGGGGGAAAATATTCAAAATTTATGCTGAAACTTTCTAATAAATTGTTTTGAAAGAAAAAAACTATTTTGTGAATACATTATTTTTTAAAAGTAATTATTCAAAAAACTATTTTGAAAATTTCTTCAATTTTTTTCCTCGTTGATTTGGAAGATCGCGCATATCCATAATATGATTTTGCCTGAACGTAAGTTAATTTTCTCTGTTAATTTTTTTCCCTCTTTCTCTCTCTCTCTCTCTCTCCCCCTCTCTCTCTCTCTCTCTCTCTCCAGGTGATTTTTCCCAAGCGTACAGCAAGTCCACTTTGAAAACCTAAGTAATATTTTTTATTCAGTCATCAACGATTTTAACTTCTTTATAACCATACTTTAATCGAACACAACAAAAAATGTTATTTTACATCAGTATGTTTTTTTGTTTGTCTTTTATTACTGCTTAAATAATATCCTTTCATATCTGAGCCTATATCTTTACATACTTTATTTCTACAAATCTCTCCTTGCACTACATCTGTACCTTTTCAACCCAAGATACCAACTATAATTCTGATACAATATATTTTTTTCCTTGTGTGAAAATAAAAAAAAAAACTAGTCTGGCACTTGTATTCCGACCGGAAAAAAAGTAATCATGATGAAAACTCATAATGCTCCTCAATTAGATGGACTATCTAAACGATTTTTCCTTGGAACAAGATGTCTTGTCTGCAAGTATTCTCATTTTATCTACTAGCTTTAATCTTATAGGCACATGGTCGCACTTCCTCTTTGAACTGATTTTAATTTTTTTCTTTCAGGATATGAGAGTAAGAATAAACTCCTCGGATGGCTAGCTCCGATCAGATCAAAGGACTTGTGGAAGTAAGAACAACCAATGCAAATGGAGGTGCATCGACACGTATGTTTTTAGCTCATCTCAAATTTTCTCAATAACAAGAAAATAAAGTATACAAAACTCCCAATTATCCGAATGCGATGTTGTCTAGACTTAGGACCATCCACATCAATGTTACAGGTGTGCGCATTTGAATAACAGGTCAAGGCAGGCTGCTTTCGGTCAAAATTTTGAGATATTTTCGTTCTCAAGATAGAGAAACGAGTTTTTCAAAGGAAGATTCATCCCTTAACACATCCAGGCAGGCTGACTTGGGTCGAAATTTTGGAATATTTTCAAAATGGAGAAACATGTTTTTCAGGAAAAGACTCATCCCTTCAAACATGTAATGTGCTCTATTTATGAATATCTTTCGGCAATTAAAAATGTCGTTTTCTCTATTGATTATTCGGGATCTTTTCTTTATCAGCACTAGTTCGACCTCTTTTAGAGTCCACGCAAAATATGTCTACACACTTTTAGATTGGGACAGAGGATTGTCTGACGTTATTTAAGCATGGAAAGTAAGTGCTAGAAACCATAATAAAGGATCCTTTGTCGCTGTCGTAAAATGCAAAAACCCATTTGTGCGTGGACTCTGATTCGGATTGTCAAGATTTTTGTGCAGAGGTGGTGTACTTAAATTCTCTTTCTGTAGGTATAGCAGATTTAGCAGATTTCTTGTCCTAAGAAATATTTAAATATTCGTTTTTACACAGGTCTTGTCTAATGAAATGGCTAGTTTCATGATGCTTCTAAAAACAGTAAATCTGTAGTGTAATAATTTTTCTATCTACAATGGAATTCAAACTGTTTTAATTCATTCTGAATTTGCTCAGTATGAGAATCTTCCGAATACCACTAAGCAAAAGAGGTCAGTCTCTAAATAGAGATTTTAACAATTTTATTTTTCCTGGAGCAGGCAAAGCATTGATGTAATGATTTTTAAATCTGTCAACTCAGACCAAAACATTAGTTGTTTCGCTGTATACCCATTGTTCAATTTTGTTGTCGCTTCATCTAAGCTTTTTAATTTGTGTTCTTGGCAGGGTCAAATACAGATCGTACAAAAAGCTCCAGGCTCACTCCCTGGACAGTTGGTTCCAAGGAAGAGAGGCCGTCCTAGGAAAGTGGTAAGATACCTTTTATTTTACATAGAAAATAAAATAATACTATTGACATTTTGCAAATTGAAGTGCTTTTTGAGACCTTTTGAACAATTACTGTTCAGAGGAGATTTAGTATTTTTAACACTCAAATATTTTTTGTTGAAACCAACATTTTTGAAACTGAAAAATTCAAAATCCCTTTCATCGTTGGATTCGTTTGACAGTCGTAGTTCTATAAATTTTTGTAGGTTTGTCTCCTCAATTTTCTTTTCATCATTTGTTGCTTTAATATATTGATCTGTTGATTCTATGAATTCTCCGTCTCTGGTAACATAAATCTTGCCATTTATTAAAATACCATCTGCGGTGGGAGAATATCTTACTAAAATACCCTTTTGTGACCTTGTCTGCAATTTTGAAGTTAACTTTTCCATAGGGTTCTTACAAACGTCACACTACCATACAATCTTAAGTTTGAAACATCTGGTCGTTGTCTTATTAAAAGTTCATACGGCGTTTTACAAACGAACGTGTTAGCTAATGACCTGTTTGACAAATACTGGGCTGTTGCCTGTTGCCACACACTCAGGCTAGTACTTGGCTTCTATATTAGCTTCTTTCAGTAAACATCTAGCTTTATTCATTAAGGTACGGTTATACCGTTCAGCTGTTCCATTTTACTGATGTGTGTACGCTGGACATGGATTTAAGAAAATACCTTTTTGTTTCAGATAATTTAAGAAAATTATTATTGATGTATTCCGTTCCGTTGTTACATCTCAGTTCTCCAATTTGTGATACATTCTAAATACATTGCCACAAAAACGCAGCTGCAAGCTAAGGAATAGATCATTTTCAATACATCAAACAGGTGCGATTGTATCGATATCGATTGGTTCAACATGTAGACATTGCCTCGAAAGTCAATTGAGTAATCTGAGGGAACGAGTTATTGATTCTTATAAGTATAAAATGGCAATTAAAGGTGAAATTGACAGGGGTATTCTCATTTCTAGCTTTTCCTACTTAGATCCTAAAATTTTCGTTTGAGGTTATGTTCTATTGTTTGAACCAAACGATACACCAAACCACTATCGAATACGATCCATACAGGGCCTCGTAAAAGTTCAGCTCCCCCCCCCCTTTAACTCTTGATTGGTCGCTTTCAGCCAAATGAAATTTTCACACCGTTCCTTGGACGAAACGAACTGCTTTAGGGCATAATTAAAATGTCAAAGGCAGCGCCCCCAGGCTGCTTGATGGACCCAAACTAAACATTTTCTTCATATTCTACGTCGAGATATTTTTGACCAAAATTTAAAATAGACCTTTTTCCAAAAATCGTGTGTGCTGATTACCAAATCCTGAGGAATTAAACTTTTGATTTCAATGTTCAACATTGGAAAACTTTCAAGAAAAATTGCAAATCTCATCATTGAAGTGACATGAAAACTTTACTTATAAAGTTTAATAAGAGAGGATGATATAAACATATTAATAGTATGCTTCACAGACCAGTGAGCGGCTATAATCACTTGGCAAGTACTGGCGCACATGAACTTTACCAATATTTATTGGTTTTTAACAAACAGTGACCGTTAAATAATGATGTAATACTTTGGAAATATCTATTACAAGAAAAATCCTTTAACTAATACCTTTAATTTCTGCATTTGTATTAAAGCAGTACAAAAAAAATTTGAAAAATTAATTAAAAAATTTTGAAAGAGTAAATAAAAATCCAGAGACAAAATTTTGTAACTGATCACTAATCACTCTGATTACTGATTGTCGGGGTTTTCCTGTGCGTAGCGTGGGTTTCCTGCTAGTCATCAATAAAAGTAACAAAATATTTCTGTCGGGCATATCCTACAGGGGTTATAGGCCCATTCACATCGGTGTGTACTATTTCTAGTAGTTTGTCGGCTCTTCTTCTTCTGTTTTGGAATTTGCGGTTTGCCATTTTGCCTTCAAGGCATGTCTCACACTTACAGTTTATCAACGGGGTGTTAGATGGAAAATTCAATAGCAAATTTTTAGAGCTCAATAAATGTAAATCTCAAAAACTTATGTAACCTAATTTTCTATGCCACTTTTCTAAAGGATTGAGTTCTTCCAACTTTTCAAGAGCATGAATATTGATGTTTCCATCGAAAAACAGAGATTTGGCACTTAATACAAATAAATTTTTCATTCTTTCTGCAATCCCAACATTTTGCCCATAATAATTTTGAATTAACACATTCTGCTTTTGAAAGAAAAAATTACAGTTTTCGTCAAGAAGTTTAGATAAGCTCAATAGATTTCTTTTTAATTTCGGTACATAAAAAACTTTCTTTAACTCAATTGTGTATACTTCTCCATTAACTTCACAAGAGACCACTAGACAAGGTACGAATTTCAGCATTCTGATACATGTTTCTTAACTAAAATTTCGCGTAGAATACGACGCGCACAACGAAAATTACCGAAATCAACTCCTTCCAAAGATATTTAATGATTCTTGATGCGTGAATTCAAACCACCCACTCATGAAAACTCAATGCTCTGCGTGATTCACATCAAGCGCTAAACGTTATCATGACAGTCTCTGCGATATAAAAATCTGGCAACCTCAATCTTGACGCTTTGGCTAAGCTGTAGCAAATTGCTTATAGTTTGAACAACACATGGTGGGAATTGAACATTACTCGATTGAGAAGCTTATTGAAACCGTTGTAGTGGGCGATTTGACTCACGTAGAGCTTAGAGTTTCTTGTTAGCGGGCAGTTAAAATGCCTCGTAACCAATGTGAAATAAAAACGTTAATATCTTCGTTTGGAGTTTGTTTCATCAGTTTTTGTTGCGCGAATCATGCACAACGTGAAATTATGGTTAAGAAACATGTATCAGAATGCTTAAATTTGTACCTTGTCTAGTGGTCCATTAAGATTAATGTTTCCAACTCTTTCCATAGCCAAAGTATAACCGTCAGCTACTATCATACCAGGTTTTACCTTAAGAGGAACACTAGTTGTGAATAAATTAGAATCATTGGTTACATGGTCAGTACAGCTGCTATCAATTAGCTACAAAGATGAAAGATTTTTTACCGGTTACCTACTTGTTAAATTACATGAGATATGATTTTGATCGGCAGAATATTCTTCTTGCACTTCTTCTGGTTGAAGTTGCTGTGCAGAGAATTTGTTCACAATACCCAATTGTTGCCGATTGTTTGGACAAACGCCAGAAAAATGTCCATAGCCATTACAGGAATAGTACCTTCTGCCAGGAGTTCCTTGCCATGAACCATGAGTAAAAGATCCAACACTTCCTCTGCTATCACAAATGTAAGCGCCTCCTTGATGAGCGCCTCCTTTCTGAGAGTCTACATTAGTTCCATTGCGTAACTCAAACACTGATTTTATTTTCAACTTCAAATATGTTACTTTTTTATTATGTGCCGGTATAGCATCAGTTGTCTCTAATATAGAATGCATACTTGATGCAAGAGCTAACAGAAAATAATGAAGTTTTGATTCTTCTGACACAATTTCTCCCGATGCTTTTAAGTCACTGATAAGTTTATCAAAAATCGCGAAAAATTCACTTGGATCAGTATTTTCCAAAAGTTTTAAATTTATCAATTGTCTTTGCAGAAGCAGTTTCTTTTGAGTATCTTGCACAGCATAGAGAGAATTGAATTTTTGTAACTTTGCATAAACCGACACTTTATCTTTGATCAGTTCAAGTTGCGAATCACTAATGGAATTTATAAGAAGATTTTTTGCTTTAAAACTCTTTGCATTCCAAAGTTTTTCTGTTAAGGAATCCGGTTAAAACGCTCTATTTGCAGCTTCACTACAGTCTTTAGCTTCTAAATAAGCAATTAAACGATATCTCCAGTTAAAATAATTGTTTCCATCAAATACTGGAATTTTAGCCAAGTCTTTTCCTTGTAATTATTTTACTATTTTCCAAAAATCTTAAAACTTATTCTTCTTCTTCTTCGCACTTGAAACTGAGTATCCGTTAAGTCTGCTAAGCTCATAATCAAAAAATCATTAAACCCCACAGGTCCGAATGGTTGCCAAAATCTGTAAATTGGTAGTAATCGTCCGAAATATTGTTGTAATCCGTTAAATTTAATTTGTAAAGAGCCATGCACAAAGTGGCCCGTTTTTGGGCCCTCGAAATTGGGGTCGAAGTGAGGTTTTTTCATCCGTAGGGTGATCCTTTACACATACTAAAATTTTAGATTGAGTATACGCACCGTTTTCGAGTTATAGGGGGGCAAAGTCCCCGATTTTCACCCATGCTTGCAGGTGTTTTAATGTCAAACTCCGGCTGTTACGAGGTACCAGATCTAGATATTGAAGCGCGGTTTGCGGTGATTTTTTCAGCTACTCCTGTAGTATTTTTCCATATCTTTCACAAAGCCCCAAATGGTTTTTTGGGGGGCGGGGAGGGGGGCTTTATTCATNGGCTGTTACGAGGTACCAGATCTAGATATTGAAGCGCGGTTTGCGGTGATTTGTTCAGCTATTCCTGTAGTATTTTTCCACATCTTTCACAAAGCCCCAAATGGTTTTTCGGGGGCGGGGAGGGGGGGCTTTATTCATACTATCATGACCGTTAGCGCATCTTATTGACTTTACTTTGTTCTCTTCTCTCCACGCCGCGGTCATGGTGGTATTTTCTGTTGGGGATTTTTCTTCTTCTTTACATTGTACCAATTTTAATGTCCACCCCCCTTTCCCCCTATTTACCCCCTCCCCCGCAATCCAAACACTTCCTCTCAAGTGTTTCTTCCTGTAAGGCAGATATGACAGGGTCATATGTGGGGGATTATTTTTCTTTCTTTACGATTGATAAACTTTGACCCAACTTACTTCTTCCTTACAGGAGTTCGGGCCCCCCCTTACCCCTGTATTATCCCCCCCCTGCCCACGCCACTTTACTTGAAGTATTTTGTTCCCTCCGCAGCATAAATGACGATGTTTCCTGTGAAGAATATTTTCTTATTCATATTTTTCACGTTT